GACAGAAACAACAGAGGGAAAGTAAAGAAGTAGGACCTACCAGTGGCACCCTCCAACCACCCACACAGACAGACAGAAACAACAGAGGGAAAGTAAAGAAGTAGGACCTACCAGTGGCCCCCTCCAACCAACCACACAGACAGACAGAAACAACAGAGGGAAAGTAAAGAAGTAGGACCTACCAGTGGCCCCCTCCAACCAACCACACAGACAGACAGAAACAACAGAGGGAAAGTAAAGAAGTAGGACCTACCAGTGACACCCTCCAAGCACTCGCTAGATCATATATAAGTGCTGACGATTGGAGCTGTTACTGGAGACTTTCTTATTTATTAGAGGTTTTACGGCGCTCGCAACTGCATAAGGTCATATGAGCGCCAAGGGGTGGGTGTCAACAGAGTGGTCTTTACAGACTTACTCTGCTCACCTCTCTAGCCTCAACAGCACAAAGTCTGTTTTGACTTTCAAGGCACCCCGGAAATAGCGGGTCACAAGAGAGTGACAAACATACAAAAGAAGTAGAGACAAATGACGATAGTAAGGATTAGGAAAGAAAAAGCAGCAGTTCCCTGTTGTAGTTCAGGCACAGTTATGAGCGTGACATTGATGAATCAGCCCATTTACAATTGTACTGTGCATAAGAACTCGAGATGTCCCCCCTTTGGGAATGGCTTAAACACAGTTCAGTCAGTGGCAACGCCCCTGGGGGGGGGGGGGGGTCGCTAGAGAGTACATAAACGAAAAGACAAAGGAGAGATAAGGAAAATACAATAGATGTTGGATAAGAAAGAAGTCCTTGAGCAAACCACACCAGAGCATCCATCAGCCACCCGCAAAGCCTTTTATAATGATGGAAAGAAAGAATGAAGCGGAGAAATAGAGGCCTGTATGGTGATATATTGTACTATTCATATGTATATACGTACATCTGCATACACAATAGAAATATAGGTCGATAAACTTATCTCCTTCCTTGGATGTTCAAGATGGACGAACGACTCACTCTTTCTTTCTTTCTTTCTTTCTTCTTCTTCTTCTTTTTCTTCTTCACCTCCAATAGGCTAATGATTATTATTACTACTACTATCATCATTATGATTGTTATTACATTATTTTACACACATTTATATCATTGTCATCTAAGGTAAAAAACCCCCCAAAAAACAACAAACAACTGTAGTGTAGTGTTAAATGCAGGTACTAATGAAGAACGATAGAATGAAACAGTAATAAATAAGAAAAGAGGGGGGGTGGGGGGTGGGAGGAATTTCAATTTTCTGAGAAATTTATTTTTTTCTTGCAGGAAAAAGCAACACAAACAAATTATGCAATAAAACAAGAGAGGATGGGATCGATCAGAAAAGAACTGATTTGAGGTGAGATGAGATGAGAGATGAAATGAGATGAACGATGAGAGAAGATATAATATGATATAATGAGAGGAGATGAGATGAGAGATGAAATGAGACGAACGATGAGAGAAGATATAATATGATATAATGAGAGGAGATGAGATGAGAGATGAAATGAGATGAACGATGAGAGAAGATATAATATGATATAATGAGAGGAGATGAGAT